AGTCAATCTCCAAGGGTCCAGGGTTAAAATATTTCACGGGTTGGATATTTTTTGGCCGAGTTATAAAATTGTCAAAATTTGAAAAAAAAAATCGATTTTTCCAGCTATTTTGATGTCAGCGAAAAAAGTAGTTCTTACCGAGTCCCTTACTCTTATAAAGCCTTCGAAAAAAATTCTGTTCATGAAAACTTGTTTGTTGGATTCTCCTCTATGGGCTGACATATTTTTTGCTTATAGGAAAAATACTGTTTTCCTAAAGTTGGTAGCCTCAAAATGTTTCTGAAGGTGACTATTATTTCATGAAAAATAGAGGTTTTATAAAAGCTTCAATTATACGCTTTAGCTTCATTAGTTTTCAATGAAACGTTGAGTGTACAAGTACCTATCTATCAGGCATATTATCTCCAAATTTCAAGATAATTGGATGCTGCGTTGAGAAAATATTAAAAAGGGTGTGGGTGTGGGTGTGGTTGTGTATGTGGGTGGGGTGTAAATGTGGGTGTGGTTGTGGATGTGGTGTGGGTGTGTTGGTGGGGGTGTGAATGTGGATGGGCGCGGCTGTGTGGGTTTGGAAGTGGCTGGGTGTGGGTGTGCGTGTACGTGTGGGTGGGTTGCGGGTGTCGGTTAGGGTGTGGGGTGTGAGGTGTGGGCCATAGTGAGCAGAAAAATGGGGGTCAGGAGAAGTCCTTCTGATCACTGTAGCTATCAACTTTTTATTTTGGGTAATTATGCTGTGTACTTGATAGTGACTATTTGTGCTTATCTAGCCTCTTTTACTCGTAAGATTTCTTAAAAATAGACTTGTTATCGAATTTTTCAAATAAGAACCCATAGTCCCGATTTGGTCACGCTGAAAGTTGACTTTTGAGTTTTGACTTGAAACGTTGCACAAACAATATTCTCATTGTGATAGGTTCATTGTGAAAATTTCAGCTTTTTTCGTTACATCTGTAGCAAGATACGCATATTCAAAATTCTGTTGGGTGAAACAGTAGATTTTCTGCTTATATTCGCAACTCACGACAGAAGCAACGAAAAAACCTGAAACTTTCACAATGAACTAGTCACATTAAGAAAATTATTTATGCAAAGTTTTAAGTTGAAACTCGAAATTCAGCTTTCAATGTGGCCTGAAAGCGACTCCGAGTCTTTTGTTGGAAAATTCAGTGAAAACTCGATGTCAGAAGAATGAAGGCCTGGAAAATAAAATCATTTTAGACTTGTCAACACTCACCGCCACTAATCGAATGAATATAGTTTTGATTTGGAGACGATTCAGCGCCTGGAGACGTTTCCTTGTGAGTTATCAAAGTTTCTCGATAAGAACTCCAAAGTTAGAAACTATCTATGAATTATGTTTAGAGCCAAACAACTGATGTAAAAGTCTGAAGATGTATACAATTGGGCTTGTGCTGTCTATTAGAAACTTAATCGCTCTAAAAGATAAGTACTTATTATTCAAGTCACTCTGAATGGGTCTGCAGCGAAGGTTATTTTTCAGACACCGTATCTTAATAAGGGCTTTGATCCGCATCTTTGAGCATCCACAAAAATTGCTTGATGACATGCTCTATCTGATAGTAAATTAAAATTCAGATAAAAGCCCCGGAAACATCCGTCGAAACAATTGCATTATCCAGCAGTCGCTATTTTGATAGTATATTAGAAGTAGGCTTTTAGTCTTATTGGAGCAGAAGGAGCTTCAGGAAGTGCAAAATGCCTGTAGTGCATAGTAAACATATAACGCTAAAGAACTGTATGATATCTAATGAATATAATTAGAATTTGAATTTCTAGGATACATTTTACTTGTAGAGCCCTATTATTAATGATGTTCACCTATTTTACCTATTGTGTAGTAGTTGCTGCAAGACGACTAGTCGCTTGCAATCAGCATCCAAGGTACAACTAAATGCAAATGCATAGCAGCTTCAATGACAGTTACGCATAGGCTCAGATCTCCGAACTCGATTTTGTTGCCTGGCTGTCCACTGTGGGGTGAAATGGGGGAAGATGCTGATGAATCGACTGCAGAATAAAGCAGTCAGCATAGAACTGTACAGCGGAATATGTTCTAGTATTTATTCATCTATTCGAAAGATTATGTACTGGAAACATGAGTGATCGTTGCATAAGCATGACCAGCAAATCATGATAGAATGTTACTTTCGAGGCACTATGTCTCAGCACGAATTTTAAGGCGCATCTTGGCGCGTCCACCAAAGATAGATGATGACACACTCTATTATATAGTAAATTAAAATTTGAATAAAAGTCTCCGCGTGATCCCGGAAGCACATTGCACGATTCAGCAGCAATCATTTTTTTTACCATACTAACGAGGGAAGATCCCCAAGTGATTTATCGCGTTTAAGGCGGGACTATGCGCATCATGTAGATGCTAATAAGCTACGAATACCCTGAAAAGAGTTCAGGCTGAAAGCTTATTGCTACCAAGATACTGCATTTTTATGGTATTTTTTTAGCAGTGCTGTGGTCCCCTTCAGAACATCAGAAAAACTGAGTTTAGAATTTCGATTCGAAACTTTGCATAGTGACCAGGGTGGCCAGGTGAGGCGCTACAATCAACGTTAACTTCCGATTTTTCCGATTTTTTCACGTTGACTGTAGCGATCAAGTGGCCACGCTGATAGTGACAGGTCTCAATGAGAATACTTTATTATTGTAAAAGTTTTAGATATCTTGGTTGTTCCTATCCTAAGATACAGTTATGGAACAGCATGCTTGTATATCGCTCATACCCACTGGCTGATTCCGAGATTCCCATTTCAGAATAGGAGCAATCAGAAGATCTGAAACTCTTACAATAAAGTATTCTCATTGAGACCTGTTAATATGCAAAGTTTCGAGTCGAAATTCTAAACTCAGTTTTTCTGATGTTCCTGAAGGGGACCACAGCACTCTGCTAAAAAAAATACCATAAAAATGCAGTACCTTGGTAGTAATAAGCTATCAGTCTGAACTCTTTTCAGAGTGTTCATGGCTCATGAGGATCTACATGATGCACATGGTCCCAACTTAAAAGCGATGAATTACTTGGGAACCTTCCCTCGTAAGTGTAATTTTCTCGTCTTATTGTAGCATAAAAAACTTGAAGAAATTCCAAAGGCCTATAATGTATGGGCATGGCCGACCGATATGAAGCCCCGATTTTTATTTGTTCATGTAACTTCAGCCAGATATTAAAAAGAGGTGATTTTTTTGCTACTAACAGTACATATATAATGCTAATGATCTGTTATTATTTGAGCTCTGTGTCTCACTACAGAGCAGAAGTTGCCAAAGAGTCTCTTGTCATCATTTCGTTAATGATAGTTTGCGCCCAATACGTTAACGTCCACTAGTTCCTACTGAGAAATTTGAATCAACGTGAAATATCAATAGTAGAGTTTTATTATCAAGTAGTTAATCAGAAACTACAATTTATCATGTTGTTTATTTACGAATGTGATCGTGGCTTTTAAACTTCGAATCGGTTGCTGATCGGTAACTCTTTTCATGAATATCCATGTTATTAATGAACAATAATCAAGAGAGAAGGAGGGAAAATGCCGTACTTCAGCGTACTTCCTGTACTTCCAGACTATGTGATAACTGTGCATCCGATCTCTTTAACTATTTCAAGTCTACTATTGACCTGTGTTACGGTATATTAGCTGGAGTCCAGCTTACTTAAGTCAACCTCACCCTAAAGTCCAAATACTTCACGGTACTTTCGAATTGGAAGTACCGTGAAGTATTTGGACTTTTTTGTCAGATAGACTTATGTAGACTGGACTCCGACTAATATACCGTAACATAGGTCAATAGTAGACTTGAAATAGTTAAAGAGATCGGATGCACAGTTATCACATAGTCTGGAAGTACAGGAAGTACGCTGAAGTAGGGCATTTTCGCTCCTTCTCTCTTGACTGTAATAGAATCGTGAATCTCATGATAGTCTTGAAACTAGTTTCGCATTAAATACACATATTGTACACTTTCCTACTGCGTAAAAAAATTGCTTAGTAAAAACTGGTATATCTTAACGTACCAGGTGCAAACTATCTTTAACGAAATGATGACAAGAGACTCTTTGGCAACTCTCCTCTGTAGTGAGATACAGAGCTCAAATAATAACAGATCATTAGCATCCCAGAATGAGAAATCCGACAACAGAATCCTGTCGGAATCGATCGGATTCAATACCGGATTATGTCGGATATTGTCGGATTCCGACTTCCTCCGATCGGATTCTGTAGGATTGAGACCAGAATCCAGTGACCCGGAATCCGACAAACATTAGCCAGGGAGAGGATTTTGTCGGATCCGACATGTTCCGACTAAAGGATCTTGCCGAATCCTATCAGATTCTTCAACGAACCATAACAGATTTGACAGAATCCGGTCGTATTCAACTCAAGATCCACCGATAAGTGTCACTTCCCAACCTGACACAATTTTTCAAAAACATTTTAAACGGTATAGTACTTGAAATCAATTATGGATGCCAATCAGGGTTCCCGATTCTTCTCCAAAGACAGTCATAAAAATGCAACCGGGAAACGCAACAAAATTTTACGATAAAAACCGTTGAATCTCTTCCGGATGCATTAACAGCTTAAAACCTGTTCCATATTTGACTGAAATTTATAAACGTTTTTGAATGATAATCGAGAACCACAATTGTCAGCGAAAAACAGTCACGACAAACGATCGTGTAAACGCCCATTTTCAATATACAGTATGCAAAATAATTATTCGGACATCGAGTATCGTTCATCTTGTAAAGTAAATTTCGCCATGAAGAAAGAACATATTTTCAACATTTTTTATATCATTCGATAGGCCGTAGTCTTTATTTTAATTGAGAAAAAAAGAGCTCTTTTTAACAACGTTTTCATCTCTTTTTTAAGGTTTTTTAAGAAACCACTCCATTGTTCGAGCAAAAAAATTATTCGGACACTTTGAGTTTTCTTTTTATTGTATCTTTATTCTGCATGAAAATATTTCGACTCGTAGTTCATTCGATAGAGAAAACAATTCTCTATGCACTGGTATGCTTTAAAANTATTAAAGAAACAACATCAATTGTTATGAATGATTTAAATGAATGGGAAGAAATAAAGAAAAATTTATCAACAACAATAATTCAAGGAAAAGTAGTGCTTAATGTTGGTGGACGTGAATTTTTAACTACAGTCGAAACTTTAACAAAAGAAAAGAATTCATTCTTTACAGGATTATTTTCTGAAAGTTGGAATTTAGAAAAAGATAATCGAGAAAGAATATTCATTGACAGAAATGGAGATTTATTTGCGGAAGTTCTAGATTTTATGCGAAATCCTCATGAATTTATTTTACCAGACGAACGATTACGTAAACGTTTAATAAATGAAGCTAAATTCTATAAATTGAAGTCCTTTTTGGAAGTTTTAACAGAACCTGAAAGAAAACTCGAAGAAGAAAAGAGAAAAAGACAAGAGGAAATTTTCATTGGTGATACACTTTTAACGATAGAACAAAAACAAAAATTGAATGAATTTTATGGTAAAAATGATCAACTTTGGAAATTAATTTATAAAGCTACTCGAGACGGTTTTGAAGGTACTACTTTTCATAAACATTCTGATAATCAAGGTCCAACAATGGTGATTATTCAATCCACAGGTGGATTTTTATTTGGTGGTTATGCTTCTGAAAGTTGGAAATCCATTGGAAATTATATAAATGCACAGAACTCGTTTCTTTTTTTACTAACAAATGCTAATGGAAATCAGCCAACAAAGTTTCTTTATAATAATAATGGTCATGCTCTTTATGACAACAACTCGTATGGCCCAACATATGGTAATGGTCATGATTTATATATATGTGACAGGAGCAATACATGTACTAATAGTCATTGCAATATGACAGGTGCATACGGTTATACGAACCTTCTTGGACTTGCTCAAGCAACTTTCACAGGTGCCCAGAACTTTCAAACATCAGACATCGAAGTCTTCAAATTATCAGAATAATTTTAAAGCTTCTAATGAAATTTTTACAGTATTATGATAGTCTCTCGAAGAAACAAATATTAAATATCACTGCGTTCAAAATTTTGCTAATCTTCAAATCAAAATAAAATTTATTTTTTCTAAAATATTTCTCATTCTTACATACTCATATTCATCGATATCTCAACGAGTCTATATATAAGAATAAGAATAAAACTGTGACAAAATTTCTATTTCTCAATTCTTCAATACCGCATGCTTTCTCGCGAATTAAGATAAAAATATACATTTAGAGCAGAAATGTTCATTATAGATTTTAATTTAGTTTTTAATGATGAAATCGATTATAAAGCTAATAGATTTCAATAATTTTTTATTAATAACATTGTGATTGATTACAATCAATTTTATTTTGAGCAGTGACACATATATGGGGGGGGGGGGGCGCTTGGGGCGATCGCTCCTTTTTGAAAAAATTTTTGGATTTTTTCCAGTAGAAAACCGTGAAAATAGGGCTTATACTACACTGAGAAACTTTAAGATTCATTTTATGATGAAAATCACCCCCCCCCCCCTATCGAAAAAATTCTAGATCCGCCGCTAATTTCAAGAGTCTCAAATAATATATTATCAATTTAAGAGATCTTAATCGGTCTCTGTTTTGCTTGATCAAAATCGATTTTAGTTAAAAAGGTATCAGTTGTTGATAAAAAGAGTAACACACCGGAAATGTTTCAGCATTTTATCGTGTGAGTGGAATACATTTTCATGATGAATATGTAACTCAAGAAAGCATCTCAACCAGACGAAAATTTTGGAAAACATGTTTAAACGCACAATCAGGAACCGCAATTGTAAGCCATTAATACTTTTTTAAACGCACGAAAATGCGTTTATTGGCATTATTCGTCAGTTTTTGGACGTCAAAACAGCAACAATCTTTATTTTCGAACGTTAAATCGCCTTGTTTCTAAATTCTACAATAATAGCGCGTTTTAACGTTCAAAAACTGGAATTTTTACCGTTTCCACACCCAAATGGTTACTTAAAACGCTAATAAACGTGTCTTCGTGTGCTTTTTGAAAAAACGTTAATGGGTGGGTGTGGATATAGATGTGATCGTGTCTTTTTTTGTCACCCACGCGCTGCTTAGCTTCCATGACACGTAACGGAAGGACCTATTGCATAGATAAAAATCTAAACCATAAGAAATAGCTTTCTTGACGCGAGAATTTTAAGCCACCGAGTAGGTTTTGATAGACTTTACAATCAAGAGACTTTGTTGTCGGCGCATACATATTATTTATTTCAAATTACATCCACTAACCTTACATTTAAGAAATAGTAAACTACAGCCAAATATTTAGATAATAGAAAGTAGAATGACTATTTATGACTAAATAAAATAATGAACTGCTTAGTTCATTCAAGTGTACCTCATAAACTTCGAATCCATTTTGATCACTTTCGTCCCTAAGCTACATTCATACTGTTCTTTTTGTTCTATGTATATGTCGAGTTCTCTTAAGTTTGGAAAGATGTAGGATATCTAGGAAAATAGTTCTAAAAAAGAATAACTTGTTTCATTGTCCACAGAAAAAATCGGCATACTAAAGTATTTGATCTTTTTTCCATTTTTACCAAATTGTTATTTGGACGAAAAGTTTTCCTGTATCTCAATGATAGAAATTTCCACATTTTCTTGTATAGATATATATATCGATGTTCTTCACTCACTTCAATACTTTTTCATTCATTCTTAGTTTTCATTCGATGATAGCAAGGGGAAAATCTCAATTGATGGTGTAAATTATCGTGAACGAGTCCAATCCCTCTTTCTTCACAAACCATTTAAAAGCCTTTCATCGCTTTGAAAGGTTTCCAGTAGATAGATCTTTTACTTACTTTATTAATTTTCATTGACGATTTTTCAGATTTACGTTTTATACTCGATTTTTTTTGTCTTTCAAATAGAAAATGGCAGATAACTACTTGATTATAATATATCGTGGACAATCAATTAGATGTCCGACTCCTGCTCCTGATACGAAAATTAAAGACTTCATTAATATGCTCAAGGAAGATTTTGATAGTGATACGACTAAGTCCTTCAGTCGGTTTTATAACAACGATCGATTGTTACCATCAAGAACAATTCATGAATATGGTTTCAAGTCAGGCATTGAGCTTCGATTGGAAGAAAGCATATCTCAAGCTTCTATAAGCATTTATATTCAAACATTGGTTGGTAAACAATTTGAACATAATATGAACGAAAATGCTACTCTTGAGGATTTATTTTTTTTATACTTCTTACTGATGAGAAATTCTCGTTTATCAAAACGTTTCCAATTCTCTTCAATCATCGTATGCACCTTTGGAATTCGAGAGAATTACTTACGAGTTACTTGAAGTTACAGAAACACAATAACGAGTCTCAGAATAAAGTTCCAGATTTTTATCTATTTGAATGTCAACGTCAATTTGAAACACACTATCTTGATTATCAAAAAGCAGGAGAATGTGAACTATTTCTGGCTGAAGATTTTTGGCAACCTTTAGGTTGTGTGAAACAAAAAAATGGCCATGTCAATATTCCTTATCTCATTGAAAGTTCTGAAGATTGTATTTTTAAGTCCATCGGAATCAGAAATCGATGCAATCAACTTTAATCATATTTCTAACTTTCTGCTTCTTCGTCAACTTCTGTTTCCACCAGCATGTCTGGCATTATATCATTTGCTAGAAGGAGAATGTTTTCTATTCGAGAAACAGCTGGTTAGTGAAGCATTCTTTCGACTATTTCGAGAAATACTTCCGCAATCTATGGTGAAAGATAGTGATGTTTAATCTATTCAAATTCTGTCCAATACCGATGATCGATTTAGTATCAAGGAGTTGATCGATGCACAAAACCCAGAAAGAATCGATGAGAATTTTGTGCGTCAGTCTGATTTAATTGCTCTTGTTGCATGGATAAAACAACAATCGAATGAGGATATTATTAAAAACTGCTTCAAGTAAGTTATAAAATACTTCCTAATTTTGATAGTTTCAATTATTGTTTTTTTTTTGTCTTTGCAGAAATTATCGCATATGGGTTCCCACTCAACAGAACAATATGTTTTTTATTGGTAATGTGTTTGAACAGAGATTAAAAGTACCTATGCTTTCAGAAGAGGAAATTAAAAATATTCATTATCATCTGAGACAAAACTGTACTTATCGTCAATTCACATTTGTAAAGCCGTCGTCTTTTGACAAAATAAAATCTAATCAGTTCGTCCTACTTAAAAGTAATCATGTTGTCTATCTGATTGAACAAGAGAAAAGTGAAGAAAATTATCAATGTTTTGATCCTTTCGGAAATCAATCACGAAATACTTTCAAAAAGGAAGATATTGTCAATGATGATGACTTAAACCAATATTCTTATTTTCCTGTTCGAGAAAATTTAGAAGACACACAACTTATGAAACAGATCACTATCTTGCTCTTCGATGTTAGTAGTTCAATGAAGTCAATGGTAGGAAAACAGCGAGACAACCAGCAAAGCTTACTTGATCTTAGTACCATTGCACTTGGCATATGGTGTGATAAAATTTTTGGCTATCGTTTTCCACAAGCTATTGGACCTGATGACATTCCAATTAATCAGAAATGTCCAATCTCAAAAGATCTGAGTCAGCTTGAGAAGGCATCAAGCAATCTACCGAAATGTGGCGGTACGACTCCTATGTAGGATGCCATCGAAATGGCTATTCAATCAATTACTAGCTTTCGCAAGGATAACGAAAAGCAATTGAGTACGGAATGTCGTTCTCTCATTGTTTGTTTTTCAGATGGTGAAGACAATAGCAGCGTAAAAGCATCATTTGGAGCAATTAAATCGAAATTAACAAATGAAAAGATTATTTTCGATACTATTGCATTTATGAAACATGAATCATCAAACCTAGTTCAACTCTGTGAGGCTACAAAAGGATTCTACTATATAAATGTACCTTATGATAAAATGGAGATGGCAAAGTTATTTGAACGCGAAGCATCACTTATGGTTTGTTTACGTGATGAGAAGTCACATGCAAAGCTGAAAAACCGGAAATTCGTTCAACAGAAAAGCTATATCAACCTGCCGTTAATGTTAAGAACACAAAGATAAATATAGGTCAAGTGCCGGCCATGTCAATTCGTCGGATATCAAAGGAACTTGACGATTTGAAAAAGTCATCATTCGATAATTTTACTGTGTTTTTAACAGAAGATAATTCACTCTTCTGAAAAGTTATTATGAAGGGACCTGATGGTACGCCATATGTTAGCTATCATTGGTTGCTGTCAGTGAAGTTCTCATCTAACTTTCCTTTTCAGCCACCTAATATACGCTTCATAACACCTATATATCATTGCAATATAAATGAGGATGGTCGCATCTGTCATGATATTTTACAAAACCATTGGACTCCTCATACAACAATGCGGACTGTATTTCAAGAGATACTCAATTTAATACGTGATCCCAATCCAGATTATGCTCTTTCTGCAGTGAAGGGTGCTCAGTACATATCGAATCGTTTGGATTATGAAAAATTGATTAAAGATCTGAATGAGAAAAAAGCAAAGAAGACAATTTTCGAAATTATGAATGAATATAAATTGACTCAAGAGTAATCTAAAAGTTTCATATGACAACATATTACTAAATATTTTGTTTCCATTCTTGATAAATAACATGTAAATTTCAAAAATGTAAAGAGAGTAATAAAGGAAACTGTTGAGAGTTTTATGTATAAAATTCACGAGATACCACTGTTGAAAAATATCCCTCGATCGGATCCGAGTTATTACTAGAACTCTCTTAGGAT